AATTATGTTTGTTAAGTCACATGTTTGTTTGTTTGTTTGTAACCAATCTGTTTAGACAATAGGAAGCCCGGGAACTTTGTCCCTGATCTAGGGATCTGATTGGGACTAAAGTGTCAAGGTGTATTACCATTTCATGGCTTCTCCTCCTTTGTTCTGACTGAGAAGGAGACGCCATTCGGCTCTTCCCGTTTTACCTTTTAGCTGCAAGGATGTAGCCATATCAGCTCTTTGTTATTTTATATCCTGTGTACCTTTTTCCCATGTTGGGTTTATAGTAAACTTTTATATTTTAAACACACCGTGGACTCAGTCTCTTAATACTCTGCTGACTTACTTAAAAAGAATCCTAACAAGCTGTTTTAGCAAAAGCCGGGATTGCCCCTTCACTACCGGTGTTAAGTATCTTGGCATAACAAGGGAATGACCCCTGTATTTGTCTGGATAAGGCCTGAATTGCCCATTTCACCCTGGAATTCCTGCGTGTGACTCTGCCGTTTTGGAGGGCTACACCAAAGCCGACATCCACTCGGGGCAACTTGAAGAAGTGGACACTCGTCCACAAAGCAAACATTTTGTTAGCCCTCAATGTACCACAAAACAGCAAGGGGGGGAGTGGTTCTGGGCAACACAGAGGGACCACGGAGAAGTTGACTGTGAAGGAATCACGGGAAGCCGGAATGAAGAAACGTCGGGAGCAGCCCAGGGAACTTGGCTTCAGCGCCAGGCAACAGGAGAAGTTGTGCAACTGGAACTCCGAACAAGCACTTGGGCCCCCTCGAGGGGTCTGGACCCATGTTCCCTCTAAGCTGTGGAATCTTGTGAGCAAAAATTCTACTCTGTCAGCTACTGGCATTAGAGTTGTGAGTGAGCAATTTCGCTATGGCATAAATTAGTTTGCTCTGGAGCCCTCCTTCCTGAGCCAAGACAAAAATGTGTGAGCCAGGGGCTAAAAAACTGTGAGCTAGCTCACACTCACTCAGCTTAGAGGGAACACTGGTCTGGACTGAACTGGAGACTGTGGTTCTGGGGGAGAAGGAGTTTTGCTCTTCCTCCCCACTCTTTTCCCCAAGGCAAAACGCCCCTTTGGACCCTCGGCTGCAGGAGCTCCCTACTGGAGCTGGAAGCAGGTCTCTGGGCCTGGGGGTACTTTCAGGCAGGGGAAGGGCAATGGAGGGAGGAGGAGAAGGATCAGCCCCCCCCGCCAGTGCTGCAGCCCCAAAGTGGCTTTTGGGGGGTGGCCCAATTTCTATACCCGGAGTTCCACTGATGCCAGTCCTGCACAACCACCCCCTGATCACCTGACCCCAGCCATGGTATGGTTGCCATCTTCCAGCTGGGGCCTTGAGAGCTTCCAGAATTACAACTCATCTTCAGAACACAGAGGTCAGTTCCCCCAGGGAAAACAGCCACTTCAGAGGGGAGACTGCACGGCAAAATGCCCCACTGAGATTTGCCCCCTCCTCAGGCCCCACCCCCAAATCCCCAGGAATTTCCCAGCCTGGAGTCGGCAACCTTGCTAGAGAGATCCAGAGTGGCTCGGCAGGCAGAAACAAGAGGAGCCCTGCCGGGGAGAGAGGCAACAATGTTCTGGGCAGCTCAGGAAGGAGGGCTCCAGAGCAAACTAATTGATGCAGGAGCCAAATCGCTTGCTCACAACTTTCATGCCAGGAGCTCACAAAGTAGAATTTTTGCTCACAAGACTCCACACCTTAGAGGGAACATTCCTCTGGACTGAGGAGCCAGGCAGGGCGTGGGGGGGGTTGTGCGTGGGTGTTGGGGGGGGAGGCGCAGAGGGCCAGCGCGTTCCTTGTGCCCTCGGCCGCCTTATCTCTGGCTGCAGATGTCCCTGGTTGCATCAGAGAACTCCACAGCCAGGAGCAGCCTGAAAACAGCCACTTCGTTTAAAATCCAGTTTTGTTCTTAGAACGAATCCTGGCCGCCTGAAGGACTGTTTAGCTCAGCCGATGCAGGCTGGACCCAAAAGGCAGGCTACAGCAAGGGGAAACACTTTCTTCTGTTCCGCTAACAGCGGCAAACGTCTGGCATTTCCAGGAACAACGTCATCACGACCCAGTGAACAAAAACCTTTTCAGCTGTCGGGCAAGAGCTGAACAAATTTGCAGGTGACGGCAACAGACCGCTGCACTCCAGAGCAAGCAAGACGCTAGCACTTCTCTTCCTCCGATTCACAGCCTGTTCCTGAACGCTCTTTCACGGCGCACGCAGAGAAAAGTTCTCCTAAGCAATTCTTCCAAAAAAAGAAAGGTTCGGAAACCAAAGGCAAACCCCTCACCAGTCCCACCACCTTTCCCAAACCCAAGCACAGATGCATCTCAGAGAATCCTGCCTGCCCCCCACACCTCTGCAGCAGCACATGACTGCCTGCCAGACGCCAAGCAAGTCACATTGGACTCCTCTGAATTTAATCCCTCTGGAGAAGGGAGCCCGCAGCAGGAGAGCAGCTGCCAGCCCCACCCCCGCCCGCCCAGGGGGGCGGAGTCCCTTGCGGACACACACGGGGGGGGCACTCTCCCTGCCCTCTGGCCATGCTGGTTCGGCCCCCCCTGGGCCAAGGAGGAGAGGACCCAGCTGCTTCACCTGTTCGTGTGCCAAGTGTGCCAACGAAAGCTCCCTCGAAATCTAATTTCATAGAAAAATGGTTCCCAGTGCTTGATCACCTGTCTCAAAAACAATTCATCTCGCCTGAATGGTCTCAGTACCACAAATGGATATAATATTAATGGAAGCCTAGTTCTATAAAATCTCACACTTATCTACTTCTTTCCTATCCTCTAGCTTTAGTATTTCTACTCAAATCTTCCAAATGGTATAATGTTCTACAGTAACAGCGTATGTTGATAAAATGTTTTTTGTCTTACCACTTCAATAGTTCAGAATGATTCCAACATTTTTCATTTAAGTCTAAGATATGTCTATTGCATATATACTGACAAGATAGACTCTGATCTGTACTGAGTAATGTATTGTAATTCAAGAAACATGTTATAACTCTGTACGAGCTCAGTGAATGTTTGCAGGATGTTAATGTAACCACAAAGATTTGTTGTTAATTGTTAGAAATGTCAGAAATGTTAAAAATAAAAAACGTTATTGTTTAAAAAAAAAACAAAAAAGCTCTGCAGAGGCACTTCAGGTGGGGGAAATGGCATAGGGGAGGTTTAAGCCCCCACCTCCCATGCCCTACAGTCCTGATCCGAATTAGCCCCCCCCCCATGCACCTGAGAATTAAGTTTAACCCAGGAAAGCCCCCCCACCCCCATCTGCTTCAAAAGACCTGGGAGCAACACAGAATCCAGCCTTAGGGCCCCAGAAAATTCAGGCAGGCCTCTGAGCACCCCTGGAGAGCATTTCATTTACCAAGGAGCATCAAACCTCCCCACGTCGCAGGGACCGAGACCGAGATCTCCAACGCCAAGGAGGCATTAAGGCCAGCCAGGCACAGAGTAAACAGCATCTCTGCTCAGACAGGAAACCCTCATTCCCCACTCCAAACCCACGAGGAGAGGGCCAGCCCCTGGAGACAGCCTCCCTCTGGCAAAACCCTCCGCGCCCAGGAGGACCCCCCATCTGCGACACATCTGGACCAATGTTCCCTCTCAGCTGAGTGAGCGTGAGCTAGCTCACAGTATTTTAGCTTCCGGCTCACCCATTTCTGCCTTAGCTCAGGAAGGAGGGCTCCAGAGCAAGCCAATTTATGCAGTCGCCAAATCGCTCGCTCGCAGCTTTAATGCCAGCAGCTCACAAAGTAGAATTCTTGCTCACAAGACTCCACAGCTTAGAGGGAGCCTTGATCTGGACTGGTGGGGGCCAGCCCAGCCTGCACAGCTGACCAGCTGGCCTGAAAGAGAAGGCAGCAAGAGGGGCGGCCCCCTGCCCAGCCGCAGCCCCCCCCACTACTGCCCCCTGTCAATACCCTGCAGGAGCCACACGCGAGCACTCCCCACCCTCTTCTGATCCGGCCCCAGCTGCCCGTGTTCTTCCCGGCCCCTCTCGCCTCTGTCCCGTCCCGTGTTCCCTCTCAGCTGAGTGAGTGTGAGCTAGCTCACAGTTTTTTACCCTCCGGCTCACAATTTTTGTCCTTGCTCTGGAAGGCTGGGGGGGGGGGGTTAGCATAGGGGGTATGCTTGCCTTGCTTCCAGTGTTTAGTTTGGTGTCACTGACTTGTTCCTGAGCTTTTCCATACTCCTGAAATTGCAGCTGTCTTTTCCAGAAACTAATTTATGCAGGATCCAAATCACTCACAACTTTAATGCCAGGAGCTCAACTAGTAGCATTTTTGCTCACAAAACTCCATGGCTTAGAGGGAACATTGGTCCCGTCCCGTCCCGTCCCCCCCGCAACTTCCCACGGGGGCTGCCCGAGTGGGCTCCCTGGCAGGCAGCACACCGCCGCGGTCTCCTCCCTAGCCTTGCCTTCCTTCGCCGCCAGCACTTTCCCCCAGGCGATCGCCCGCGGAGGCCCCGATCCCGAAAGAGTGGCGTCGGGGCCAGTGTTCCCTCTAAGCCGAGTCAGCGTGAGCCAGCTCACAGTCTTTTAGCCTCCGGCTCACACATTTTCGTCTTAGCTCAGGCAGGAGGGCTCCAGAGCAAACTAATTCATGCAGCAGCCAAATCGCCTCCTCACAACTTTCATGCCAGGGGCTCACAAAGTAGCCTTTTTGCTCACAAGACTCCACAGCAGTGTTCCCTCTAAGCTGAGTGAGTGTGAGCTAGCTCAGAGTTATTTAGCCTCCAGCTCACAGAGTCTTGTCTTAGATCAGGAAGGATGGGGCTCCAGAGCAAACTAATTCATGCAGCAGCCCAATCTCTGGGTCACAACTTTAGTGCCAGGAGCTCACCAAGTAGCATTTTTGCTCACAAGACTCCACAGCTGAGAGGGAACATGGGGCGCGTCAAGGCCAGCGGCTCCCCGAGGAGCGTCTGCGGCCGTCGGCGCGGCGCCCCCTCCTCCCACCCTCCCTCCGGACCGGCCGGACCGACCTGCAGCTCGCACCAGGCCACCTCGACGGTGGTCTCGGTGTCGAGGCCCTTGTAGACGGTCTTGAAGGAGCCGCGCCCGATCTCGATGTCGAACTTGAGGAAGCGGCCGTCGGGGGAGGTGGCCACGGCGCGGGTCTCGGCCTCCTCCTCGTTCTCCTCCTCCTCCTGCGACGGCGGCCGGGGCGCGGGGCGGGCGGCGCGGC